GAGCGAGCGAGAGACAGAGAGGACGGAAGAGGGGGGCGGAAAAAGCAACCCCCCTCGTCCCGTGCGGTCTCTGCACAAAGACGGTCCCGAGGAGCCGGGCGAGCCCGCTCTGCCCCGCCGCCCCCACCATGAGCAGCCTCAACAAGGAGGGCGAGCACAGCAACAGCACCACCAACATCGAGGAAGAGGTAGGGGCTGGCCCTCGCCCTGGCCAGCTGGCCTCTTCCCGAGCAGATGGGGCTGGGTCCTGGGGGCTTGGGGGTCCTGGAGGAGGGGGCAGAGCCCAGGGCTTGGTTGCGCTGGTGTTGGGGCATGGGCTGCCCTGTGGCTCCTTGGCTGGCCTGGCCCATCTCCAGCTGTGCTGGACTCTTCCTGCCCCTGTTGTGGGTGCTGGCGTAGGAGCTGTGGGGGCTCCTCCATCCTTCACATCTGCCTGCTGTGCAGAGGTGCCCCGGGATGCAGAAGCACTGCACGTGGCTTGTCTGGGCTGGGGAGCCGGACCAGGAAGGGCCTAACTGAGGGAACAACAGGCAAAGGAAGAAAAAAGAAAAGAAACTTAAACTTTTTCTAAGCATCTCTTGTGCAGGCGGCTCACGGCGCAGAGCGAAGCTGCTCCAAGTTTTGTGGGACTTGTGCTGCATGCCCAGCTCTGAGTGGGGGGATGAAATGTTTGTCTTCAGGCTTGGCACCACGGGTGGGCTTGTTGTGGGTTCCTTCCCCACCCCCCTGTTTAATGCTAGCTGCTCTCTGGTTCACAGAGAAACTAGGGGAAAGCAGGCTGTCTTGGCAGGCAAGCAATCCCCTTGCTCAACTCTCAGGCCTGGCAGCCCCTCCATTGCCTTCTTACGGGAAGGACTGAGTACCTGCAGTAGTGAAAAGATGCTACTCATGTCTGTAGTGTAGGGGACTCTCCCTGGGGTGGCTGGTCAAGGGTCTACTGCACAGCCCCTCTTGAGGAGAAGAGTAAACACCCCTTCTCTCTACCCGGTCACCTGTGGTCTACGGTGAGGGAAACTTTGGGAAATGTGGGGGGAATGTTGAATGCCACCAAATTACCCCAGTTCCATCACCATAGGGGTGGGCTCTGAAGTGCCACTCTTAACGGGTGCCTGGTTGAGCTGCCTTTTGTCATGCAAGGATTCCTAACACATGATGGGGGACAATATGGTGCTTTGAATGTGGCATCCTGTACACCTGGGAATATGCTGAGGCTTCCCCAGCCCTGGTGACTTTTTTTCTTGTAGACCAGGCTAAGAGGTCTGGAAACATCATCTGACCTGTAATGTGGCTTTTCTCCCTCCCACCCCACCCCCCTGCCTTGACCTTGGTGGGGAGGAATCTGCTGGCCAGGTGTACGATGGTGCTAGTGCTCTGATGGGTGGTGGGGAGCAGGTTTAGGGTGCCTACTCCTACTCCAGACTGGGTGCCAAACCTCCCATGACTCAAAGGACCCCTGTGCCCTGCAGCCTTTCAAGACCTGGAACTTGTGTGGATGTCCAGGCTGCCTCTGCTTGCTGAGATGTAAGCATGCATTTGCCTGTCTATATATTGGAGACCCGTGAGCTTTACAGCAGCTGTTTGGATGAGACAGAGCTGTGTATGGGATGGAGAAAGCACAGGAGGGATGTCAAGTTTGCTATTCTCCTCCCCCGACTCTCTTGGGTGGACTCCACCTGGTTCTGTGCTACACCAAGCAGTTGGTGACGGTGACTCTTACAGTCCTGTGGGGGCAGAGGGGTTGAACTGAGGCATTGTTCCCCTAGGTGTAATCTGTACAGCACAGCTGGATGGCTGCATTATTCCTGCTTCCTCATAGCTATGTGCTGCGGGTGGCGGGAGAGCTCCCATTGGCTGCTGTAGTGTCCACCACTACCTGAATGTCGGTCTCTCCCTCTGGGAATCGCTGGTAATGGCTGCCTGCGCCCTCCTGAACTCTGTCCGGTTCCAAGGCATCTCTGAAGAAAGCCCAAAGATGGTGGCCTTCCATGCGCAGTCTGAACCATTCTTTGCGCATTGCTGTGGGAATGCAGTGAGGCACCGTTCTCCATCTTTCACGTAACAGATGCTTTTCTTCCCTCCCCCCTCCTGGAGAGTCGTGTAGCAGGGCTGGCGCAGAATGGTGGCCATGTTCTTTTTCCACCCTGGAGCGTTGCGCAAATGATCCCTGCGTATAGGTAGTGTGTGCTACTGTCTGGATCAATATAATCCTCCGAGGTGCTCTGTTCAATGTAGAATCGCTTGGTGGGGGCTATGAGAATGTACAATACCACTTGCATAGCGACTTGGAGGTGTTAGCGGTGAGCGGAGTGAAATGGAGTCCAGCAGTCCATGATGGATGACACCTGCTCTTTCTTTTGAATTTTTTCTGTTTCTAGGTAGAGAATCTTCTTTTCTGGCTAAACCCTCTATAGCGCATGGCATGCAAGAGATCTGATGGTGGGGGAGCAGTGACACTGCACAGCACACATGCAGTGTCTAGTGAGCTGACTGAACCACGGGTTTCTGTCTTTCTGGGGGGCACTTTCTTTTATGTACACCCCTGTAGGTCTACAGAGAATAGGCACATCTGGCTAATATTCTCATGATGCAGGAAGAAGTGCTAATGGAAAATACCAGTCCAGCAGGAATGGTACCACGCACCCAATTTGACTATTCATTGGCCTGTGAAGCCCCACGGGGAAATCCATGATGCTCCAGCCCAGTGTGCCAGGTTACAGAACTGGCAAAACCTAATTCTATTTTGGCTGCTTCTGGGTGTATCCTGTAGCTTGCCCAGTTTTTGCAAAAATTACTTTCTACAATGCTTGTTAGCATCTTTTTAATGTCACTTCTCAGTGCTGCCTCTGCTGAGGGTTGCATAGTTCTCAATTAGTGGAGTGGGCACTGGAAAGCCCAGTGTCCTTCAAATAACATTTTGCACTGTGACAATGTTCTTTTGCAGTGTGAGAAATCGGGGAAGCTTGGTCGTTCCAAAAATGACAACTCCGGCTAGAACAGGGCTGGCTGCCTTGGAGAAGACTAGCATCTACAGTGGGCTCAAGCATGTGTCTCTGGGGAGGGACAGAGCTGGCAAAGGAGAATAAGTGTTGCCCCTTCCATTTAACAGAAAATCTCCTTCTGGTTGGGTACAGGTGTGGCCAGTCTGCAGTTAGGGTATAGCTGTACCATCAAGGACTCAAAGTAAACCAAAATGGTTTTGATCAATGGCCACAGTGTTTATAGAGGGTCTCTTCTACTGTCCTTGTTTGGAGTAGTGTCAGCAAGAGGTATTGATAGGTGGGTCATGCCTGCTAAGCATTTCCTGTAATTCTACACAAAAGGGGCATGGGGAGAAGAGGCATCTTAGCTGTAAAGGCTCATTCCAGGATGGAGTCCTGCCCTATGGAAAAGGGTCAGAACTGCAGCGGATGCAGAGTAGCCTCTCAAGCCAGGTGTGTGCCTTAGATTGCAGCCCTTCTACCAGGGTTTTGGTCTCTCTCTTCTGTACTGGTGTCTTTAAAAAAAGACACCAGTACAGATCACCTTGGGTGACTTCCTTTCTCCCACTCCCCCCCCACCCCGGCCTTCCATTCCCCAGTTGTCATCTCTCTTCAATGTACGCGTGAGATTACACATACAAGAAGTAGATGAATTGCGGAGTAATTCGTTTCACTGCTGTCTTAATGGTGTTTTGTGGAACACTGGGACAGAAATAAGCAACTTGAAACTGGTGATGGTTTGTTGGGGGGGCTTAAACTCTTTCAATTCAGGGTCTTGGCTGACTGGAATTCACTCAAAGCTGTAAGTTTGGCAGCAAGTACGGGTCCTCTTCCACCGTACCACAGCTAATGCTTCTGCCTTCTATGCTGCCGTGTCCTGCAACAGCTTTGCTGTTCTTGGTGTGCCCCTAATTTAGTCTTTCTAGACCTGCCTCTGCACTGGCCAGCTTGACCTGCTCCTGTTCTGAAAACTGTTTTAGCAAAACTGGTCCATAGTCACCCACTAGGTTCTGGCACTGCTGCCTCTAATTATCTTTGCTTTACAAAATGATTCCTACCCCCCGCTCTCCCACACACGCTCCTTGATCTTTTCCCAGATGCAGTGCTTTTTGTGGTTCCCAAACTTGGCCTCTCTGTCTGTCTAATCTCTAGGTCCCTAGCTCTCACAGCACTTCCTGATTAGTGAAATCTGCAAATGATAGGAA